TACCTTAAAATCCATGTGCGTGCACAGGCACACATGTGTGATGGTGCTTTTTGGGGCTTTCATACATATTTTTTTATTTTATTATGACATTTGCATACAGCAAATTCATGCAGACTCTTGGCTTCAAACTCCAGTAGTAAAAAAAAGCTCCAAAACATAAAAAGTACAACCTACCTATAACAACATATGAAGATATGCATACAGGTAATCCTCTACTTACAACAGTTGGTTTAGTGAGTTTGTTTAGTAACAGTTCAGAGTTACATCATCATTGAAAAAAGTGACTTATGACCATTTTTCACACGTACAACCATTGCAGCATCCCCATGGTGACGTGATCAAAATTCAGATGCTTGGCAACTGACTCACATTTATGACGGTTGCTGTGTCCCGGAGCCATGCAATCATATCTTGTGAACTTCTGATAAGCAAAGCCAGTGAGGGAGCCAGAGTCGCTTAACAACCATGTTACTAACTTTAACAATTGTGGTGATTTACTTAACAATTGTGGCAAGAAAGGTCGTAAAATGGGACAAAACTCACTTAACAACAGTCCCTTTTAGCAACAAAATTTTGGGACTCAGTGAGGTGGTAAGTCAAGGGCAACCTGTATATGAGTGTCTTATGGACAACATAAAATTTAATAAAGAAAATAATAAATATTTTGTTCCCTACATCCTAATTTATTAGGAAGAAAAAATACTAAAACAAACTATCCAACATACTTCCCCTGTGCCTCCTAAAGAGCTTTGAAGAGCCAATGGTGCAACATGAGAGGTTTGGATCATTCCTGCTATTAGGCAAAATAAAATAGCCACTTTGAGTGGAGTAGCCACTATTATATAGCAGCTGTTTCGCTGCGTTTTAAGATGGCTCTGCCACTGTGGAAAGGCAATCAGATTGACATTGTGGGTTGCTATAACATCTTCACCTGTAGCCATGTGCCATTGGCATAACACAATGCATTGCTTTGGGACTCCCTCAGAATAGTGTTTATAGAGTAGGCTAGCTTGAATTTTTTTCTAAGTGAAGAACAGACAGATATGAAGAATCAGTGGAGGAAAAGGACTTCTGACCCTTGGATTTCCAGTAGTATAGATCACAATGACCTCCACCCATTGCAGCTTCGATAGAGAGGAAGATGCTATTGTGCAGAAGGTTTTTCTTTTTCTTCCACCACCAAACAGGCATGACTTTGGCCTGGCTGACCTATTCTAAGAGTCCCATCTGCATAAACGATAATTGCCCAAATGATTTCTATCAAATGAAACATATCTTATCCTGTAACACTGCAGAGCCATCACTCAAAAATAATAAAAGCCTGCCTTCCATTGAGGACCCACTGCACAGGTCAGAAAAAGGGCTGAGAAAATATCTGCAGACCCCTCACATCCTGGACATAAACTGTTTCAATTTCTCCCCTTGGGATGCCACTAGAGAGCATTGAATGCCAAAACAACTAGACACGGGGCCGTTCCCCCCCCCCCCCATCATTCTCCTAAATACCCAATTCCCACAGCACTGTCTTATGTCTAAGGATATTTACCCATGTAGTAGAGCTGTATTACTATTTCCTTCTCATCTTTACTACTACCTTCTCCTATTGGTATCTTATGATTATATTACTTGGTTGTTTGTAAGTACATTGAGAGCTTGTGCACCAGAGACAAATTCCCTGTTTGTCAAAATCACACTTGGCCTATAAAGAATTCTACTCTATTCCAGTCAAAAGAAGTGTAGACCCAGTCTAAAGGGGTGTAAGGAGGAAAGACAGCCTTCAAAGCAAATCTGGGTGCTTGGGGAATGCCTCTTAATGAGATCGAGGATCATTGTGACAAGTTTAAATATTTGTATAGCCTCCTTCTAATCTTCATGGTCATCACCTCCATCTCCTTATTTATCTTCCTCCTCTCTTTTTATTGGTAGGAAACTGAATTACAAATAAATCTCTATTAAATCATAAAATAAGTTTATGGTTTATGGTTTTTCCCCCCTACTCTTTCGAAGGATTTACCGTGCTATATTAATATGTAAACTCTACAGCAATCTGGGATTGTCGTATTACGCATAAGATTTAGGTTGGCAGTGGCATCCTGCATGACAAGAAGTTTTGATATAGCCATTCAAATATGGAGGCACTAAAAATTCTAACCATGGGAAATCATGCTAATATAGGGGAACACATCACAATATTCCCCATGTTTCAGAGCACATGGTTCTGAAACGATGGTTCTTGTGTATGTAGCAGTGTGTTTGAATGAACGTTCCCAAAACATCCTTTGGAGCGTGTGGTTGCGCAAATGTAGGACCTCATGATGTGCATGAATGGAGAATGTTTTGTTTCAAACCTGAACAAACTATTCCTTAAGCTCTGCTGAAGTATTTCAAGTCAGACAAAGGTAAGGATAAAATCCAGGATGTTTCAGTTTGTGCAGGTCTGAAATATTCCTGGAAGATAAATTGAACACAGCCAACAAAGGTTATATTTTCTTAGCTTAGGTAAACTGAGCACTGAAACTACAGATAGTCCTTGACTTACGACCACAATCGAGCCCAACATTTCTGTTTCTAAGCGAGACATTTGTTAGGTGAATTTTGCTCCATTTTGCAATCTTTCTTGCCAAAGTTGTTAAGTGAATCACGGCAGTTGTTAAATTAGTAATATGGTTGTTAAGTGAATCTGGCTCCATTGACTTTGCTTGTCATATGGTTGTAAAAGATAATTACATGTCCCTAGGACACTGCAACCATCATAAATAGGAGTCAGTTGCATGGAGCTGGTTCAACATTAAGTGTGAAAAATGGTCACAAGTCACTTTTCAGTGTCTGTCATGCCCTTGTTAGAGTCGGACTCTGAGGGAGAGGAGGAACAGCTGACGGAGTGGAGGTGTGGCTCCAGAGGTTGTGGAGGAGGCTGGGGAAGGGCAGAGTCTGCTGGGCAGTCAGAGGAAGAACCAGGCCCATCCCCTCTTCATCCTAGGACACGCAGAGAGGAATGGAGAAGGAAACAACTTGGCTTACGAAAGAGGAAGCGGCCATGATCCCCCTCCTTGGTTGCAGTTGGGGAGAATAGTATATAAGAGAGACGGTTAAAACACAATGTTGCCAGAAGCAAACCGTGTTTTATTCTGGGCTGAAGTTATCTTGGTTGGCATCCTTCCAACAGACTGTGCCTTGTTATCTCCTTGAAGTTGGTAATTACTTATCCTGGTCCGTTGTGGAAATTCCTTCATTGTGGTTTGTTTTGGTTTTTTATTTCACCTCTATTTGCTCATTAAGTTCGGACAGTATTGCTTTCTTTTGAAGACTATTTTTGAATAAGTTTTATCACCAACTGAGAATTATTGAACAGTGGGGCCAAGTTGGAGGCATTAAAGGACATTTATTTACATTTTGGATTTGGTTACGTTTGTGTTACACTCTGGGTCATCACAGTGTTGTAACTTTGAATGGTCACTAAATGAACTGTTGTAAGTGGAGGACTATCTGTATCAACACTAAGGCTTAAGTAAAAATAGATGTAAATATAGTTAGAAACAGATAAATAAAAGAGGTTGTTATTATTATCATTATTATTAAACTTGGAATTTCTTTAATCAAGTCATACTGTTCCTTCTGGGATCCTGATGAACCTTGCTAGCTTTTAAACAAAATCTGGTAACATTACAAGAGAATATAATTATCCTGATCAGCTAAAACATAATTGAAATGTAAAAAAAAAATCGATACAACTTAGATATTGAGCATTTGTGTTGTGGATCTCAGTAAGAATCACAGGGATGGGAGGTGTATTGTTTCAGTGGCTCCTAATGTAGTGTGATAAATGTGATTACAAAATGAGATTTTGTGGAGTCTCTCTTCCCAGGAACGGTTTCCAGGGCATTACAGTGTATGAACATCAGAACTCTTTGGAATTTGGTGGTTATCAGATTAAGTTACCAGAAGGCTTATCAAAGTTGGTTGCCTAATAAAAAAATCAGTAAAAATAAGGCTATGCTCAATTTGATGCTCCAAAGAAAAGATTTGTTGCCTGAGATTCTCCTTGATGAAATTATACATACCCCAATTTCAGGTAGTCCTTGACTTACAGCTAGTTGTTTAATGCCCATTTGGAGTTACAATGGCTTCAGAAAGAGTGATTTATGGCCTGTAAAGCACTTCTGGTTATTGGAAAATGTCATAGCATATCCCCCAATGTTCACATTTTTTGCTCGTTTATACCGAAAACAACAAAATTTGGAAGAATGGCATCTCATTTATGACATGAGTAGCTTAACAACTATGTGATTCACTTAATGAATTATAAAAACAGTCAGAAAATTAGGTCTAGTAATGTGGATGCATGACTTACAAGCAGAATTTTGGTCCTAATTGCAGTTGTGAGTCAAGGACTTGTATCATTTGTGTATGAGAGTAGCCATTATGATACAGGTTTCTGCTCCAAGTCTTTTTCTCATTTCAAAATGAAGTGGTCAACTGACACCTGTTGGAATAAACTGTAGGGAAAATAACAAGCCTTAGTCAAAATTTGAAGACGTGAATATATGTGTGTTTGTGTGTGTGTGCACGCGCACACACGCACACACAGAATATATAAGCTTCAACTTTAAGTAGTCCTCTTCTGTATGAAGAACAGCATTAGGCACATGCTGAGACACTTGAAGAATATGAAAAGAGGAAGAATGGTTTAATGGTTTAACGTAGATGGTAGCGTTGAATGCCATACAGACAGAATTACGGCAAAATAAGATATAATTAATGTTTTTTACCCAATAAAAATGCAGTGCTGCTATGTCATTAAAATGGTAATCTCTATTGGTATGTCTCCTGGAATATGTTCAAATCAATGCTTTATGGAACAATTTTTAGATATCCTGTACTTTTCAATCCACTTACAATTAATATTTTTTTAAAAAAGAGCTGTCATTTATGGAGCACTAACGATGAGATGAAAGCCAACTGATCGTCACTCCCCCCCCCCTTTTTTTTTCTGGTTCCAGGATTGTTCCAAATGCTCTTGCTAGCCCACTGAAAGCAGTAGTTGCACCTTCCCTCCTTCAGAAACACAGCTCATCACCATTACACAGCCAGTCTCCAAATGGGCATCATTTCTCAGCGAATAAATTATATGTGCCGTTTCCAAACCAATCTACGCCGCAGGGGCCACAAGGTAATCCTGTTCTGTATATTTATAAAAGGATGCACCATGCATAAAGAAACGCATACACTAATCTATTCTCAGGGTCAAATTAACCATAACAACCAAAGTATATTGAAAGTGATACTGTGTCTTGACATTATGTCAGGCAAGATCCATCTTTGCCATTTTATAATCTGGATAAAAGATGGGGACATGGGAAATGTAATGACTTTAGACTGTATAGCCTGTTATATTTATCATCATGAACAGGAAAGCAACATGAGCTTACTGTTTTCAGTGGATCCTCTGTGTTTCTCATAATGCCTAATTTGAAATGAAATTTGGCATTGGACAGCAACTTGTATAATCCCAAATGCTATGGGCTTTGTCTGGTTTATGGGAGTTGTGCTTCAATTATTGGAGATGTCATTCAAGCTGATGAGCACCAGCTGAGAGGGAACCATTAGGATCTTTTACATCATGCTTTAGAAACCAATATGGCAAATATTTTATATTTTCATATGAAGCAGAAATAGTATAAATAGAGTCATTGGCATAATAAAGGTTACAAGTAAAGATTTCCCTTGTGTAGTCACGTCCAAAGATGCGCCTATGATCATGTGGCCAGCATGACTATATGCCAAGGTACACGGAATACTGTTACTTTCCCACTGAAGTGGTACTTTTTAATCTGCTTTACCTGGGGCAAATAACAGGAGCTCACTCCGTTGCACATAACTTAAGTCTCGAATTAGGACTGTCGACTTTCCAGCTGACAAGCCCAGCATCTTAACCGTTGAGCCATCACACCCCTTTCATTGGCATAATGGACTATAGTAAATGGAAAATGTATTTTATATTTTGTAATAAAATAGAAGTAGCCACTCTTTTACTGGTAGAAGTAGCCAGTCTTTGTGAGATAATGCTGTGCAAATGAAGTACACATTTTGACACATTCAAATGAAGTAGCCACTTATATGCTAAGAAGGAAAAATAATAAAAGAGCAAAAACCAGTGATGTCTTCAATTTTCCAAGGATGTTTTCTTGAATGCTACATTTACCATGTCTGTCTGTCTATCTGTCTATCAATCAATCATTTGAAAAGGAGTCTGCATTTCCAGATTTATCACAAATGTCAAAAATCCTAGTTTGAATATAGTAGTTTGAATATATCATTTATTTCTTTTTGTGACCCTGCTTTTTAACCTACTTTTGGATAGATTTAGTTAGATAGGTCTATACAAGGTATTAGTTAAAATAAGGGAGTAGGTGCATAATGTTCTGAGCTATTTACCAGCCAATAATGTTTTAATTCAGTATACAACAAGTGTTCAATGCATCAGAGAATTAACTTGGGGTAAGTGTAATATGAGCACAACTACAGAAATCTAGTTGATCTCGAGCTTGGTTGACTAGAGAAATTTCCTAGTTCAGGTGTTTGCAACTCAGGTGAATGATAAATGGTTCATAGATTTGTTCAGAGGCTTCAGATTTTATCAGAAATATTGGTAATTTTCATGCCAAAAATTTGTGAGAATAAATATTGTATATCTGGCTCATTAATAATACTTAATCATTGTTGGAATGAATTTAGTATGGTTTTAATTATGTTTGTTGTCCTTCACTGGTTACATGAATCAATTTTGTACTCTACTTTTTCTGCATAGAGAATCAATTTAGACAATTACTTTAGCATGTAAGAAACTACATTACTATATTGATTCAGTAGTTAAATTGTAGCTGAAAATACAGCTAGTTCTTAACCTTCGATTTATCTTTGTTCTTGTGGGAAAAACTTTACAGAATCAACAATCAATTTTGGAGAAAAATATACTAGTAACCAGTTCAACTTCTTTTTGAATAAGAAACCTTTCAGCACCAGATTAGAGCTAAACTTGCAGAAAGCTAAGTAATAGAAGATTTCAGATTGTTTTGATTTACAGGTAGTCCTCAACGACCAATAGCTTAACAAACTTTCAAAGTGATGACAGTCTTGGAAAAAATGCATTACTGGATTTTCTAGGCCAAGAGCTTCCCCCCACTTGCCAGAGGCAGTTCTTGTTCTTTACATTACTTCTACCTGTCCATTCAGGCACCTGCCAAAATCCAAGCACACTAAATCTCCATATGTGCTTAGCAGTGGCAGAAATTTGCTGAAATACCAACTCCCCTCTCCCCCTTGGAACAGCACCTGCTCCTTTGGCCTGGATAGCAGGAAAGACACAGTGGAACAGGAGGGAGCAGTGTTGATAAAAAGAGGATTCCATAGAGAAAGCAGTTCCACAAACAGATTCCTAGAGAGGAAAGGAAGCAAGTCCATCAAGTGGATTTTGAGAGAGAAGATCTCTCTAGAACAGGGGTGGGCAAACTACGGCCCGCGGGCCACATCCGGCCCGTTGGTCATTTTAATATGGCCCGCCTCTGAAAAAAATATTCCCCTCTGAAAAAAAAATCGGGGCCGGCCAAAAGAGACCCCACGCCATGCGCCAAAAAATCGCACACACAACACGGAGCTGGGCAGCCGCTTCCCTGGTGGCGGGGCCGAGGTCGCCGCCCGGGGAACGCCCACTGCTTTCCCTTGCCAGGGCCTGGCAGTGGCGTGTTGCCCTGCGCCGCGTGGCCCCCGCCTGGCAGCGCACTTCTTGGCTGGTCTCCTCCTCCTCGGCCATACAGAACAAACAGGCAGAGAAGGAGGAGACCAGCCGGCTGGTTGGGGGAAGCTTTCTGCGCCGAAAGAGGCAGCTACTCATCTCCGGCTTTGCTCCACTTCTCCAATGGTCTGGCACCACCCTGTTCTATGCGCCGGCTGCTCGGACTTGCTGGGCCTGACACATAGAACAGGGCGGCACCAGATGTTGGAGAAGCAGAGCGGAGCCGGAGATCATTAGCCACCTCTTTCGCAGCACAAGAAGCCTCCCCCAACTGGCCAGCTGCTCTCCTCCTTCTCTGCCTGTTTGTTCTGTATGGCCGAGGAGGAGGAGACCAGCCGGCTGGTTGGGGGAAGCTTTCTGTGCCGAAAGAGGCAGCCACTAATCTCCGGCTTTGCTCCGCTTCTCCAATGGCCCGGCATCACCCTGTTCTATGTGCCGGCTGCTCGGACTTGCTGGGCCTGACACATAGAACAGAGCATGCTGCAGACATCTTGCGACAAGCCCCAGGACATGTGGTCACCTGCTGGCTGGCTGGGCCAGGGCGGACTGGAAGAGGCACGTTCTCCAGGAGAAGGAAGAAAGCGTGCTCCGGGAGGGCGGGTGCCGAGCAGGTGGGCGGATGTTCCGGGACCACTTAAAGGTCGACTTTAAGAGTGCCTCCATGGAAGAAGCCGAGCAAACGTAGTGGCGGCAGGGGTGACGGGGCATGTGTGTTCCTCCACAAGGAATATGAAGGGAGGCAGACACCGCACCTCTCAGGAAAAAAGTAGGTGCCAAAGCCCTGGCTGTCACCTGGGAGGGGACCGTGGAGGGACCCATCACATGCCCTTGTTGCCCCCGCCGCCTCTACTTTTGTTCTCTTCTTGGCTTCTTCCATGGGGGCGCTCTTAAAGTCAATCTTTAAGAGCTGGAAGACGTTTTGTTAGATCGCCACCAACTCATCGTTGGGAGAGGTGTAGCTCCTGAATACACGAGAAATCTTGGGCAAAGTTCTCTGACTTTTAAAACGCATCCGTGTGGTGTTTGCCTCCCTTCATGCTCCTTGTGCATGCCGGGAGCACCTAACTGGAGCAAAAGAGAGCGAAGTTGACTGCTATGAAATGAGCACCTTGGCTTCCCCTCTTGCTCCTCACAGTTGCCCTGAGCTTGTGTGGTTCTTTACTTGGGCAGCCAGACGCCCACAGCAGCGCCCGCAGCAGCAACAGGCAGTTCCGCCTGGGCTCCGCTCAGGTGTCCGGCTGGGGCTGTCAGGAGTTGCTACCGCCGGCGCAGCTCCGTGCGGCTCCAGTCGCGTTGCCTTGGGAAGGGAAAGGCAAAACCAGGAGCCGCTGAGCCTGAGCCTCCGGTGCTGCTGCTGCCGTTGCAAAGTGCCACTGTGGCTCTTCCTTTTTGCCTTTCCCTTCCCGAGGCAATGCAGGACTGGAGCCGCGCGGAGCTGCGCCGGCGGTAGCAACTCCTGACTCAGGGGGCCTCCGAGGGGAGGGGAAGGAGGAGAAGAGGGGGGGAAGGGTGGGGGGGGTGATTCCCAAAAAATCTTGTGCTGACCCAGCCCGTCTGTCAAATTTTAAAAGTCAATGAGGCCCCCAAGCCAAAAAGTTTGCCCACCCCTGCTCTAGAAGGATGGTTTTAATCTTCAGGAGGTCAGGCCAAGCCAATCTGCTTGGTGCTCCCTTTTCCTCTAGGAATCTGCACGGGAACGGGGGGGGGGGAAGGAGATCAGGAAGAAGGAGATCGTGCATGTGTAAAAGAGAGAAGGGGCGAGTTTGAGACTGAGTGAAAAGAGCAGAATAAAGGATAGAAAAACGGAGGGAGAATAGCCAGAGATCGAGGAGAAAATGAGAGGAGATGAAAAGAAAGAGGGAGATGGAGAGAAACTGGCGCCACACAGTAGCAAGCAGCTGGACTTTTGGAAAAATCAATTCTACCCATAGTGTCTTTGCTGGAAGACAAGGCTCCTTTGCAAACTTATTTCAATGAATTGCCATTGTTTCTCAGCCGTTGTGTGCTTGAATTTCAGCAGATGCCAGTGCAGAGAGGGAGTAGTAAGGAGCACGGGCTGCCTCAAAGAGATGCAAGCAACCCTGGGAGATCCAGCCTTCGCCATGCACGAGTGTCTCTCTGGTCTGGTGCCGAAAATCCTGCTTGCAAGAAGGCTTTTTAGCATCAGCACAGAGCAGTGATGGGATTCAAAAAATTTTTACTACCGGTTCTGTGGGCGTGGCTTGGTGGGTGTGGCAGGGGAAGGATACTGTAAAATCTCCAGTCAGGTATTAGCTAGTTCTCTGAACTACTCAAAATTTCCACTACCGGTTCTCCAGAACTGGTCAGAAGCTGCTGAATACCACCTCTGGCGCAGAGCCTCCTAGGATCTGCCCCACTTCCCTGATTCACCATATATTCCTTACCTGGGACTTTGTCTGCTTAACAACCCAGACATTTGCTTAACAACCACAACCAGGAGGGCCAGGATTGTGGTTATAGCACCTCACTTAACAACTGCTTCTCTCAACAACACAGATTATTGTTTCAATTGTGGTTGTAAGTTGAGGACTACCTTTAGTTGAGGACAGTCTTAAGGCTGCATGACCTTCTGTTTCTCTTCCCCACTTGCCCATTGAAGGAATGAAAGCAGGTGTGAAAAGCTTTGCCTTTGGTTTGTTAAGGTAATTCAAACTTTTGATATGTCCAAATTTGAAAGCCTGAGGCTATAATACATTTTTACATTAATAAACTACATTTTATCAATGATACCTAAGATAAATAAGCTATCAAAAAGAAAAAAAAATGAAAGTTGTTGCAACACATTATTTGTTGCTATAATAAATGAAAGCTAAAAACATAATAATAAATGAAACTCATTATCCCAAGCTGGCAGTTTAGAGATACACAGGTTTACCAATCCAACAGATTCATTGTGATAATAGAAATGATCTCCAACACACCTGAAAGGTGCCAGGTTTGAGAAGGCATCATTAAAAGCTGGTAACCATGGAAGGTCAAGGATTAAATTTAGCTGCTTGTGAGTGCAACAAAAGAAAAAAAAATGAATTGAGGCTTTTGGAGAAGACAGCACTTTCCTAATTGTTCTGTGTCATAGGGTTTTTTAAAAATAGTAATTGTCAACTCAGACAAACACCAACATGTTATTTTAAATGCCATTTATGGTAATGCCATTCTGTTTCAGTTAATACTTTCAAATCCAATTCTTAAGCTTAATACATTTTTAATCAATGTCTGACAGTAGACATGCACACTCAATTTAAGCCTAAATATTATAAAGAACAGCATCCAACTGCAAAATCAATTATAAAGTCATTGTAAAAGAAAAGACGTATTTGTATTTCTACTCTGTTTTTGGTACAGTAACTCAAACAAACTATCTCCCGACATGTTAGGGATATGCCTGCCATTGACAATGGGTGAGAACAAAACTCCAGTAGAATATATGACTTCAAGTACAAAAAGATCCAGATGGAAATGATTATAAATTGAAAGAATTTGGCGATCAAATGAAATAGTACATCTATTTATATCTTACATGATGTCTTTGCATAGAAACTTTATATAATTTGACGAGTTTGACTTATTTATATTCATACATTAAAAGGAATGACACAAACGAATTGGCATTTAGGAGGCATATTCTAATACTTTTACTCATTATATCATTTGTTTAAAAGTTCTTCAGATTTTTTGGCTGAAGCTTGAGGGAAATAGGAGCACCCAGCATACTTTATGATGTGGTTAACTACAGCTTTTTTATATATCACATATAGCAAAGTTATAGCTGAATGTTATGTTTGGAACATACTTGATTCCTTTATTAACTGTTGTATTTCTATATTTTATTCCACATAAAACATTTAACAGTGATCATTTAAACCGACAGCATGTTTAGGAAATTCATCTTTAGAAATTAACTGCCACAGATTTGATTTAAATCTGAGAAACTGAAGGAATGCCTTCAATCCATGTGGTGGACCTGGTGCTGGTGGCAAAGGGAATGTCAGCTTAGCTGTGGCTGCCAAAATGTACTACATTTCTTAACACAAATAGAAATGTTTTGTGAATTTTCTTTACAAGGAAATGTGGCAGAGGATAGACATTTTATTGTACACATTTAAGGGAATGGTTCATATTTTTAGCCCCTTAGGAGTTTAGATGTGGATCTTTTAGAAATCTCCTTAGATTTCTATACAAAACCACATGTGGTGGTTAATTGCGCTGCAGTTATAGGATTTGAGCCTCACTTTAAGCTCCTACTGCTACCATCTGTTACATTTTGAAAGGTACTTACGTGGGCACATAGGCCCAACAAATTGTGAACAGTTAAAAACAAACGGAACAACACCTACAAAAAGTTCATTGTTGATGATGGAAATAACTCGGTTAAGTGCTGGCAAGGCTCATTTGAAAGTTCACTTCTGCTCTGTGACATCACTCATCACTGGTATTAATTCTGAAGAGAACCTTGAAGAGTTAATCAAATAGAATTGTTCTTACAGTAGATTGGGAGTTATGTTTTCAGACAAGAATAACCAAGGGGAGTTGCTTGGATCGCCTGAAAATAAAAAGAAAAAAAAACATTCTATGTAGAAGGAATATTCTTTTAAGGGGAAGATACCTTGGTACAAAAATCTCACTGTAGACATGCTATCAAAAAACAACAACAAAAGATTTCACTGGATTGTCTCTTCTCCATGGGGTAACTTCTAATCACTCTGAAACACTGTAATTGGCAAAGCCAATTTATAACCCAGCTATTGTAACTGCCAAACATGGTTCTTGGAAAAAAAATCTCATGCAGCTGTTCAATTTCTGTGTTGGACCTTTTAAACAGTTCACTATGACTGCAAATGCTAACAATAGGTAAAAATTAGAAGCATACAAGCAGAGAAAAGAGCAGATAATAGTTATGCTAAATGTGAGAGTTTGTGAGCCTTAACTTCAAATAATATTGGATGGAGTGCAGTAATTTAGGGAAAGGACTGTTAAAAAGAGAAATAATTTGAAACCAAAATTGCTGTTCGATTATTTTAAAAAAATAGAGGGCCAACAGAGATGAAGCTGACCATATTAGACAACATTGCACTGCAAGATAGAAAAACATTTGGTATTAATGGAGTAAAAACATCCCTGTTAATGGAGCTAAAAACTTTACTAGGCAATAGTGGCCCATTACGGCAGAGCTGATCAAGGGCAATATATGATTCTTGATTCATTTGCAGTCCTGTTAAAGCAAATCAGGAAATGCGTGTTTTCCAGATGCCAGACTTCGAATCTGGCTTTTGCTTAGGTAAAAAGTGTATTGAATGAGCATCAGTTTCAGAAACAAGCCGGTTGCATTCTTCTAAATGTCTGAACACTCTCTGTTTGCAGGTTACCAAGGTAGCTTTCACTCTATACAAAATTGCTTCCACTATGGAGATTGCTACAGAACAATGGACTCATCTTTCAGTAATGATGTGCTATCAGGGGAATCTCATTGCTGTAACCCTCTGCGACAAAATGGATATCACATACTCAGTGCACCTGTAGCTTCAACAGGTAATTGATTTCTTCTGTATTCCTATAATTTTTGTTGGACTTTCCCCCTTACAAAAAACATTAAAGGTAGAGGATCTAAAATTTTAGACACAAGATAAGTCACATTTTTTTCTCCAGATTCTGAAGAAAACTGAATTGTGGTTCTTTAATTGTCTCCTTCTAAACAATAGGGGTTTTTTTGGAGGTTGCAACAAATACATGTACTTTAGTGTATGTGAGAGAAGGGTAACTTAGTTGAATTGGGCAGATGCTGTGATATCATTGCCTAATATTACTGGAATGCACAAGAAAGAATTGCAAATTGGCAGTGACTATACATTTATATAAAGACTTGCCTGGTTCTATAGCTTAACTGCATGCATTTTACAGAAATAAACATGCAATTTTTTAAGGATTTTTACTATAACATTCATAAAATGGAAATGTTGATCTCTAATATTAATCAAATGCTGCATTCATATAAGATCCTGTCAGATTTTTAAAAGGATAGTTTGATTAAATATTTTAGTATACAGGTTATAATGAAGGTGTATTGAACAAAACATTTTCCCTTTCTCAACTTTTTTTCCAGCTTTCTCAAGATCATCACCAATATTCATGAATGATTCACTTGAAATTTTCTTTAGTAGAATGAAAACTTTGATGAAAAATTCTCACAAAATCAAATTTGTCCATCACTCATAAGTCAGTTGACCCCAATATAGTCTCACTACAGACACAGAATGAATCTGTGCATATCAGGGTAGCTTTGAATATTAGCACTGCCATGTTCTTTCTCTGCTTATTGTTATTCCTTTTGCAAACATAAATTCTCATGTTAATTTTTTTGATAATTTGTGAGGGATCATTGAAGAGGAATTTGGGTGGATGTGTTTAAATTTTCAAAAAAAGCCCACAAACTTAAAAGATAAGCAGAAAAAAGATTTGAAAAAAGAAAAAGCTCAGGAATGAAACAAAGTAAAAGTGCAAGACAAATAGAAAGGAAAAATAAAGAATAAATTAAAATTTTTATTAATTATATTATAATTAAAATAATAAGGGAAATAAAAAAATAGAAAAAGAATGACTTCTGAGTTTCTTTAATACAGATGTAAGTAAAAATATATGAAACTCTTACTCTAAAATTAATATTTATCTATATTTATAATTTCCATAATCCCATGTAATTCTAATAATTGAATCCCCAAATCAATTTTTCATTTCTTTCAATTTGTTGCAAAAAGTCCAAAAATGATTTTCAGGCAGAAATCAAATTTGTTAAAATCTTTTCAATTGTTTGTTTTCATTTCCACAAATCCCACCATCTTCACCATCCAGTCTTCCATTGAAGATATTTGTACCGTACATCTTTCCACCTTTGACCGTATAAAAATATTGTTGCCATTATGATAAATGAAAACCAAATTCCATAAGATGGGGCTTTAAAAGCAGCTTTTAACATCCATATTTGATCATTTGCCCTCATAAGACACACTGAGACGATTTAACCTGTTTTCTATTTTTCCTCTGGATTCTTAATAGTACCAATGCTACATAAGAGCATATTTACTAGGAAGGCTACGTACAACAAGAGAGCACTTCTCTGTGAGTCTTATAAATGACCAGTCAGTGATACTTCCATTTTAGAGCTTTGGATAGTTTATAGTAGTGTCTAGGGTATTCCTTTAACTAAATCCTGTGGACAGTTTGAATGGTAAAAGTTTCTAAAAAGAGAAAAGTGCTTGAATTTATTTTCAAATTTATTCATGTGGAGTTTTTAATGCTTTCCAGCACTCAGGTTAAACAGGCTCCTAATTCATGGCTCTCACTTCAGTAGCTATCTGCTTAAAATCTCTCCTGAACTTGAATCTCTCCCTAAAGATTTGAAATGAAAAAATGGTTTGGAAATGATGGCAAACAGGAAAAAGTCCCAGCACCACACACTTTCCTTAACCCTATCTTCACCTTTTATCTTGAAAGATGTGCTTTCGTCCTTCTGTCCTCCCCACATCTTTATTTGACTGGCTTACGTTAGAGCAACTGGCATCAACAATTTTTGGCTATAATTCTGTCATTTAATGTCTTGTAAATTGTAGCCTAGAAATAAGATGTTACAATTAAAAGTCTGATACTCTTAGCTCCTTTACAGCACATTCTTCAGCATAACAGAATAAAACAGTTGGAAAGGGACCTTGGAAACCTGCTGAAGCAGGAGACTCTATAGTCCCTTCTTAAAAACAGAAAAAAACAGAAGTTGTTCAGGCTCATGTATGTATGTATGTATGTATGTATGTATGTATGTATGTATGTAATGTATGTATTATGTAATGTATGTACATACATATGTATGTGCTTGGTTTCTACAGGTATAAAAGAAGAGAAAACTTAACAATTAGATCTTTCAAAAGAAGGGATTTAATGAGAAACAGACATTGTTCTTCAGAATTGTTTGATTGTTACAAGTACAGCTGCAGGGCTATGAAGTTGTGAAATGCAGAGGCAACAGTTCACTAATAAACAATCCAAACCGAAAAGGGACAGTCCTGTAACAGCAATGCTCTGCTGTTACTGCTTATTTTTCAGAGACTTAAATGAGCAGCAACAAGTCTAGTCACTATAATTCCATTTTAGAAAGCTTCTGTTTCCATGCCTTGATCCAGAACTAAGAAACTGTCACTAGTTTCTAATAATATGATGTCTTGTCTGATGTATGACCAATCCTTAGCAGTTCAGAATGATTACCAAGGTCATGACATGTGTAGACATTTTAAGTTGAATGGTTACTCAACATGTTTACAGATTGAATGGCACTGTAGAAGGAAATATCCATTCTTATCATAATTACACATTCCTAGAAACTATAATGGTGTTTTCTGTATAGACTGAAACAACCATTAGTTTTAAAGTTCTAGGGCAGCATCCCTCATCCGATGTCCTTCAGATGCGCTTGGGCGTGCAATATTCAAAGTTCCCAGCTATCACAATTAGTTATGGCAGTGGGAATTCTGGGAAACATAGAACAAACATTTCAGCTCACCAAGCTGTTGGACACCTGTTTGTTTATTTAATTATTTTCCATGTCTTTCTTCCTGATAACCAGAGGAAAGGAGAGAGATTTGCAGGAGACAGATGGTAGGGAGCAGAAGAGTTAAGCAACTTCCACCCCTTTCTTGCTAACAAGTTAGGAGGCTTTTTGGGGGGGTATTAAAACTCTGATTGTTCTTGCTACCTCATACTTACTATGTCTCATGTGCTTATCCTATTTCCAGGCTACGAAGTCATTTCTGAAGCAGAGTGCATATCCGAGGAAGTTATCAATGGAACTGAAGAGAATAATGGATTTTTCCAAAATGGCACTTTTGATCACTGTTTAAATCACATTCCTCCCATCTACACAGATACCTAAGTCTTCATCTTAAATTGTTACTTTGCCTACCATACTTATAATGCCTTTTGTATTTACAAAATTGTTGTTGACCTACCTTGACTGTATTTAATCTGCAACCGTTTATGTGTTCATTTAAATCAACTGCTCACATTTACCAATTTATTTTATAAAGGAATATACTGTGTAATTGTTGGTATCTATTCCTTTGTTTTGGCACTTTGAAACTGATTCTCTTAAGGGAGAAGGAGGACCATTTAAAACTGCTTGATGTGTAAGTCCTTTTGAGTAAAATATAAATTTAAATTATAAAATATGCTTGTAAAGATTTTTTTTTTAAGAAGTATGTTTTCAATTTAAGACTGCTGGTCCCTTTAATCACAGTTAATTCATGGGATATTTTCTTGACTATAAAAGGACTGCTTTAAAATTCACAGACCTCATGTACATAAACGTTTTCACTTTGCTGAGCAGGTTTTATATTTTCAATTTTACAAGAAAAAATTAAAAATTGGAAACTATAGTGTGCTCTCCTTTTTTTTTACTTCATTCTGTCAATGAGAACTATCTTTTGACTTAGAACTCATACAATTCCATATGCAATTTCTCTGTCTTCTTTCCAAAATGCTGTAATTCAAACCATTTATCACTTGACATTCCAGTTTTTCAGCTTTTCTTCTGCATGAAGGTAATGTAATTGGCTTATTATGGGAAACCTAAAAGCATAAAAACTAACGTCCCAGAAGGTATGTGTTACACTAAATCTGTTATTATTTTGGCTGCAAGAATTTAACACAACTACGTTTCTCAAAATGAATAGCAGATTTAATAGAAAATATAATTAATAACAGATATCATTTTCTCTGCTTCATAAAGGAGTCTTAGAAGTGGCAGTAGGCTAATAGTGATCCGGGTGATGGGAAGCGAAAGTGGAGACACACTGGTGTGAATCAAAGAAATGAGAAAGAAAAAAAAATAGTCAGCGATTGGAATGTACAGAATCATCTGACAAGGATGAAGAAGAAGGGAGAATTGAAGATGATGGCAGGATAACCCATCATGTGGTCCATATCAGTAGGAGAAATACATTTGAAAGGTGTTTCTGAAAAAAAGGATAAAATGTGTGGATCATGCTTGAGACAACAGCATAGAAACGAGAGTTTGGAAGAGTTATTTCCAATAAAATGGAATTAAAATATGCATTATAATGAGGATCCTAAGATAAACAACCTTTCATTTACTGATAGTTTTCTGAATATGAAATAGATGTCTGTAAGGAGCACCATCAATTTGACAGCTAGTTTGGATACGGTGCCTTTGTAGCAATTCCACCACTATTATCTAAGGCAGTGGTTGCCAACCGGTGGGCCAAGGACCACTGGTGGTCCATGAGAAAATTTTGGTGGTCCGCAGAGAAATGTCCCCCCCCCCACACCCCCCCCCCAAGCTGCATGGGAACACAAGGCTGTGCCTCCCACATGGCCCTCCCACCTGCTGGCCCCCACCCTTCGGCCAAGAGCAAACCTTACCTTGAGTAGAGCCCCGCGAGCTGGAACTGGAAGGTAAGACCAATGGTGGGGGAGGGAAATCCGCCCCGGGGTGGCTTGTTGACGTTGGTGGGAAAGTTGGTCCCATATTCCAGAGCTGCAGTAGTCACAAGACTGGCCCTTTGGTCATCCCAGAGCAGCTCCTCCAGTCCATGGCAGTCCAGTGCACCCAGGTGGAGGAGCAGCTGCTCCGGGACGACCAAAGGGCCAATCCTGTGACTACTGCAGCTCTGGAATATGGGACTGACTTTCCCACCAACGTCAGCAAGCCACTGTCAGTCAAAATTCATATTAGTGGTCCGCGGGATTTTAAATTATGAGTTTGGTGGTCCCTGAGGTCCAAAAGGTTGGTGACCCCTGATCTAAGGTTAAAATATCTGGACTGCAAGAATCCAATTAACCACAAGATGGAAGCAGAGGGATGCAAAGAAATTTGGCTCTTCTGCATTCCAAAAGTCTGGATTTGCAGCCCAGATTATTGAAACATTAATATTGCCATCATATTTGAAAAGAGATGATGTCCTGGGGTTGCACTTGTAAGTATTTTTTTAATGACTTATCCCCCAGCACACACAAATCCTCATAATACAATATCGGTTGGTACTACCACTATTAGCTTTTTAAAAACCAGTTATTACTAGACATGATAGCAAAGTTACAATAATGGACATTTCCATTTAAATTATTTTTCTTTAATTTCTACTCTAGTTCACAGTCAAAAACTAAAGATTGGATTCTTGAATTTTTTTTGTTTGTTTTTCTCTTGGTTGCTAGACTATCCCTCAGTTGGCATGCCGATTTAGACATCTACATCCTTGCAATAATTGAAAACATCAAGTTTTTAATTTTCAGACTATAAATGGGGATTAAAGTGCACAATTTATCTGATATGTCATTCAAATTAAATACTTAAATACATTTGAGATAATATTCCTCACAAAGAGAGGAAAAAAGCCATTCTGCAACATAGGCATTAATTTCATAAAAAGCCATTTAAAATTGAAATTGCCACACCGTATTTTCTTAAAGTTCCAAATGTGCTTAACAAAAGATAGGCAACTTCCCACTTAGCATATGATTATCATTTTAAAAGAGCACCAAAACCGAGTATTTAATGGTTCTCTGCTGGTACCAGAAATTGTGTACCAGTTGCCCAGATGGCATTCCGTTACAAGGGCACAATTAGTATACCTTCACATTCTTCTTTCAATTTTTATATAAAAATTATATAAAACTGACTTGTGTTTGTATCATTGTTTTTTAAGGCAAACATTTTTCTTTTTTAATCCATCTCTGTATAAGTAATGCGTATTCAGAACAGAAGATGGAGGGAAAAATATTCATCAAATCATGTTTTAAACTTGGAATTTAAAAGGGTAGGCTCAAGTAATTTTAAATGTCACTAAACCATACCAATATCACCCTCTAGTGGCCATTTCTTCAAAATTAAGGTAATCTTCATAGTTGTCTGCAAGAAAAAATACAATTATGCCCCCAGAAGTCACCAAGTATCAAAGTACAGGTAGTCCTTGACTTACAACCGTTTCATTTAATGACCATTCAGTGTTACAACACACTGAAGAAAGTGACCATTTTTCACACTTTTGACCATTGGCTCGTATTTATGACAGTTATGGTATCTCGGGGTCATATGATCACCTTTTGTAACTTGATAAGCAAAGCCAATGGGAAAGCCAGATTCATTTAATGACGGTGTTGCTAACTTAGCAACTGCAGTGATTCTCTTAACAACTGTGGCAAGAAAAGTTGTAAAATGGGGCAAAATTCACTTAACAAATGTTTCACTTAGCAACAGAAATTTTGGGCTCAATTGGGGTCATAAATTAAGGACAACCTGTACTGAATGAGTTATTGGGAATGTCCATGTAAAACAGAATTCCTGAATTAAGTCCTATGTTATAGTTCTGGATTTTCATTGCCCTTTGTTGAACCTTATTTTTAAGCTTTTTAAGCACATGACTATAATTCTGAACATACTAATAACAATGCAATACCATTTTTTACTAGTGAGTTTACCTGAAACCACCTCTTTATGTAAGAAACACTAGAAACAATCCTTACTGAAGGATTGCTTGCTTTTGAAGTTGCTTGCTTTTTCTCAAACAAAATATCACAAGTTAGCTGTTTGAGGGCAGGCGCTGAAAAATTTATCTGCTTTTTCAAAAGTGCAGAAATTTTAAAAAAGCAAAAATGCAAAGCAACTGGCTATATTTTTTTTTTTACAATTGTAAATGTAAATTGCCCAATAAGTGTATGATTACAACATTATAACCATCAAATTATCTCATTTTTTTTATTTTCTAATTATCAAAGTACTATATCGAGCATGTCCCACCAGTGGCCTGCAGGCCACATGTGGCCCTCAACAGCTGGTAATGTGATCCCACAATATTGTAAACGTTAACGTTATGTGATTTATATACGTTAATTACATATTTCATATGCAGCCCAAGATGATTCCTGTTCACTTAATGTGGCATAGATAAGTCAAAAGTTTGGACAACTATACCGTACATCATAATTTCATCTTTTTCTGTTTCACGCAAAAAAATCAATATGGGATTTTCCAATCAGCTTTAAGCATGTTCTGTCTCTAAAGCTTGTCAACTTGGCCATTCTAGCAAGTTCTATCATCTTCACCATCCATTCCTCTATTGTGGGTCAAGTTGAATCTTTCCACCTTTGTGCAAATAGAGCTTTTTTTTTTTCCTGGCACCATTGCTCCTTTTCCTAATGCTGTTTTTGGGATGTCATTCAAAGGTCCTCAGCTGATAAACATTTGTAAAGTATGTCTAGCAAAAGGTATGGTTAGATCTGATTAGTTCAATGCCATTTAAAAATGTGTAAATTGGAGAAGATTATAATCTTTCCCAATTTAATTTGACCTGCTTAAATAGATGTTTGTTTCAGTCCAGGCTTGTGCTATTTTGCGCATTTAAAATGTATTTTCCTGCCTCATTAAATATTAATAATTAATAGCTTTTGTTTCTGTTTAAAAAGGAATATGGATTATGCAAGAGCATTTAAACCACATAATAGATCCAGCTGTTGTTAATTAGGAGAATATCAGAGTTCTTATGTTACTTGGTTTTGTTGGATCTGTTCAACATCCTGATCCAATTATTTGCTTTGTGATACATAATTTAATATACCATTTTAACCTGATTTTTTAAATCCGGTATTCTAGTTATAGACAGAAGCCTTTGACAGTTCTACAGGTAGTCTTTGATTTATGACCACAATTGAGCTCCAACTTTCCAGTGCTAAGCAAGACAGTTGTTAAGTGGGGTTTGGCCCATTTTCAACCTTTCTTGCTGCAGCTGTTAAGTTAGTAGCACTGTTGTTAAGTAAATTCAGCTTCTCTATTGACTTCCTTATCAAAAGGTCACAAAAAGTGATCACATGACCTGGGACACTGCAACCATCATAAATATAAGCCAGTTGTCAAGCACCAAATTTTGATCCTGTGATCATGAGGATATTGCAACATCATAAGTGTGAAAAACAGTCTGTCATGCCCCTGTCGGAGTCTGAATCTGAGGAGGAAGCCAAACAGCTGACAGGGAGTGGGAATGTGGCTCCGTTGGCTGTGGAGGAAACTGGGGAAGGGCAAAGTCCGGCTGGGCAGAGCAGGGGAGAGGTAGAACAAGGGAGAGGTAGAACAAGGGAGAGGTAGAACAAGGGAGAGTGAATTCAGAGGAAGACCCAGGCCCACCCCCTCTTCATCCTAGGGCACGCAGGGAGGAATGGAGAAGAGAGCAATGTGGGTTGCGTGGCTTACGAGGGAGGAGAGAGCCCTGATTCCCTTCATTAGGCACAGCTGGGAACACAGTTTATAAGAAAGGAAGGCTGCGTGCGGCAGGCTGCTAGGAGCAAACATGAGTTCATCTTGTGCTGT